AATTTGTTTACTTGAAAACGTATTTCCAACATTGAGGTGTTCCAGTGTTAGTAAAGGTTGGGTCCAATAATCCTGGTTCCCTGAGACCCCCCTGTAGGGGGCAGCTGATTAAATCCCACTGGTAAAACAGGGTCTCTCCTTTGGGTCCATATATATCGTCACTTGTTTCTATGGCAATACCATGACAACAGACCACATGCACCCATTAGTACTTACTTGAGGCGTCTAGTATTAGTTTATCGGAAGGTTTAATAGTGATGTTAGTACTGGGGGATATGATAACAATAGGAGCCTTGTTGACATAGGGCTCTAAATAGAATAAACCATAGTTTTTTGTTATTATTGTTGTTGTTATTATTGTTATATAGTTATATCTTACCTGGTCTAACTGTAATGTTAACAAAATCTTTTCCATAGTTTTCTTTATCATTATAAACTAATACTTCAAGACCGTATTCACCACTAACCAACTACAGAATAGAGAAAATGAGAATGATGATAACAAAAGGTAAATTAACAATTAAATGTTTGCATAGAACTGCATTCCCATTAAAGTATTAATTTTCATTGTATGGTGATACAATGAACTCACAGTCATTGATAATAGACAGGCCTGATCATTGATCATCATGCACTATTGAACAAAAATCAGTCAAGTACAGGACTACAGGTTAACAGGTATATAATTTCATTGCTATGGCTGTCTGACCACAAAATGTAATCCACTACTATTACTTATTCCATATAAGGTTTTAAAGTGTAACTGCAGTGATTTTTTAGGGTATTTATTTTATGGTCTTAATATGATTGCCTGACCATAATAATGATGTGTTCCAACTCCTATTGTCTAAAAAAATTTATTCACTGAGATATGAGCCTTCAAAAATGCACTTTTTGCTTCCTTTCAATTTACTTCCTGTCAATGGGTGTGGCTAAACGTGACGTCATAAGAGGCATAGATGCAGATAACTCCATTCCTTTATAGGGGGAAATAATGCTTTATTCTCATGCCTTATAATGTAATAGCACTAATTTAAAGATTGGGATCATTAGCTTTCATTATCCTAAGCATGCAACTGTAAGAAAAAAACTCAAAAGAAGCAAGCAAGCAGATTTACCAGTGG